TTTTTAGTTGTATTATCGTTATTTTGTAAATTAATTTCATTATTAATACCAAAACTATTTTCTGTTTGCATTTCTGTATATATATTTTCCGAGATTATCTCAATTGTTTTATCTGTACTTTTATATGTTTCAATATCCTTTGATAATTCCGGTTCTGTCGAACTATCTATATTTCTTTGAGAAATGATGGCAATATTGTTACTTGATAATCCAGTTTCATTAGGACTTGATGATTCAGACTTGTCATTTATCTCAAAAATGTCGTCTTGCATTTTTTCCCACAAATTCTTAGAATTTGTCTCCATTACTTTATCTTCAAATTTAGATGTTTTAATGGCGAGTTTTTCTTTCACAAATGCAACAAAACAAGTTCCATCTGGTGCGCTGATTACTTTGGTGCAATTTTTTGGAAGTTGAGCTGCTCCAGGTCGAAAATTACCATTTATCAAACTGTAGATTCGAGCTTGCCCATTTTTTTCCACAAAACAAACATCTTCAGTATTTTTAATAAAAAAGAAATGAGCTATCTTGGGAATATTTAAATTGTACCATTGACTAATTTGAATATGTCGATATTGTAAATGAATATTATCTTGTTCCTCATCAAGCCTATATGTATTAAGCTTTTAACGTAAAATATTAAAATAAGTGATTATTAAGAGAATTATTTAATGCAAATTGTAGTTAATTAATATAAGTACATACTGTCCCTTTGTCATTTTCATAAATTGCAATCAAGCTTTTAGCTACATTAATTGCAATCATAAAATTTCTTCCAAGTGTTAGTTTTTTTAACGGAGATTGTGAGTCTAATTTTTCTTGTAGATATTTAATGCCCTCAGGATAAATATCTAGCTTCTCATTTATCATATTCCAAAGAAATAGTAGATATCTCCTGCCCAATTGCGCAATTTCACTGTAAATTTAACAAAAAAAATGATGAGTTTTTATGATTAAAACAATTGAGAAATATTATAATTATTACATAAACTCATATGTCTCTGGATCAATATTAAAAGAAG